TGAAGGGAGAGGGGGGAGAAACGGGCCCTAGGTGTCCCCACCGGACCTGGCCCAGGCCTGGTGAGTGCCAGCTGCCCTGGCCGGCCCTAGTGGCGGCTGGAGACCAGGCCTTTCACTTTGGACATCTTCTTGGTGGGCTGCCTCTGCTCAGCATGGGAGGGGCACTCCCGCTCGGCCAGCTGCTGCTCCATCTCCTGTGCTGAGGATGAAGCGGTGGCTTTGAGCGTCTTCTTGATGTTGGTGACCTCAGTCTCCACCTGCTGCTGAGTTCGGGTGCGGGTCTCTTTGTACTGGTTGGCTCTCAGGACTTGTTGCTCGATGCCTAAAAGCACTGCTTCACAGTCATCACACCACTCGTGCAGGGTCTTGAAGATGTTGCTGATGTCCTTCTTGCAGATGTCCCGGCCAATGCAGACGTCCACTTCCAGCAGCTGGTTGCGCTGGTCCAGCTTGCCCTGAAGGACGTCTGCGCAGACAGCCTCGATGATGAGGTCCTCCAGCTCCCGCAGGCTGCGCATCTCCAGGGCCTCCAACAGCACCGAGTAGGGGATGCACTTCATCTTGGAGGCCAGGCTCACGATGGGGAGGTGCTTCAGTTTGTTCTGCTGGGCGGTGCACAGCTTGGGCAGGCTCTCCTTGTTGGCTATGTAATCTGGGTACGTTCCATAGGCAAACAGGTTCAGCCACTGCAAATAGGCAGCATTCGCTCCTTCTACGAGCTCCTGTACGTTGACCAGCTCCAGCAGTTCTCCAAAGACGTACACTCCAGGCGCCTCCAGAACCTGGCTTATGAGAGCGGTGAGGGCTGAGCCACTGGTGCCTTTGGCCCGAAGGATACACTGTTCCAGGAGGTTAGTTGAGGGCTTCCGTTCACCTGCCATCCTCTGGCCTTGCGAGGCACGATTTGCAGGAGAATGCCGAGTTCCACGCAAACAGAAGTTAGCTCTCTGTGGGCTGCCGTCTTCATTTCAAGGTGCGGAAGGTCTTCCTGCCAGGTCTCAAGTCTCGGGATTCCAAAATCAGGAAGAGCTGCGGGCGGGTTATAGAATTTGCGCGCACTGCCGGAATGTATCTTTGAACATTGCTTTTCAAATTCTCATAAAAACCAGTATTCCACAGTGCAAGCTTCAGTGTGTTGGAATCATTGAAAGTCACTTGCATAGTGTAGCTGCTGTCGTTACGTGCTTTCAGGTGGTTCTGACTCATTGCTACCCTAAATACAGCAGAACAGCACACTGCCTGGCCGTGCACCATCTTTGCTGCAGTCCCTGGGTCCACTCAGCTCCTTGAGGGCCTTCTTTTCCATGCACTTCGACTTTACACACTCTGATGTCATTTTCTAGGGACTGGTCTCTCCTAACAATATGTCCAAAATACATGAGACGAAGTCTCACCATCCTCATTTCTAAGGAGCATTCTGCCTATACAGCTTCCAAGCCAGATTTGTTTGCTCTCTGGCAGTTCGTGGTACTTCCAATATTGTTTGCCATCACCATAATTCAAATGCATTGATTCATTTTGGTCTTCCTTATTCAATGTTAATTTTTCACATGTATCCGAGGTGAATAAAAATACAATGGTTTGGATGAGGCACACTCTAGTCCTGAAAATGACATCCTTGCTTTTTATCAATTTAAAGAAATCTTGTGCAGCAGACTTGCCAGCTGCAATACATCCTTTGATTTTTGGATTGCTGCTCTCATCAACATTGCTTGTGGATTCCAGCAAGACAGAAACCTTGAACATGTCAATCTTTCCTCTATTTATCATGATGTTTTCTCTAGGTCTGGTTGTGAAGATTTTGGTTTTCTTAACATGGAATTATAATTTATATGGAAGATTGTAATCTATCAGCAAGTACTTCAAGTCCTCTTCACATTCAACAAGCAAGGTAGTGTCATCTGCATATCACTCAGGTTTTTAATAAACCTCTCTCCAATCAATCTTCATGTGCATTCTTTTTCATATAGTTCAGTTTATTGGATTATTTGCTCACAATGCAGAGTAAGTATGGTAAAGGGACACACACCTTTCCTGATTTTAAACTATACAGCATTCCTCTTTTCTGTTGCAACAAAGTTCATGATTTATTCTGTTCATACTGCTGTCTTTTAGTTCATGTACAAGTTCCACATGTGCACAATGAAGTGTTCTAGAATTCCCAATCTTTGCAGTGTTATTCATATTTTGTTATGATTCATATACTAAACTGTTTTTTGCATTGTCAATAAAACTTAAGTAAATATCTTTCTGGTTTTCTCTATTTTTAGCCAAGATTCTTCTAACATGAGCAATGATATTCTTCATGTCATGTCATTTTTTGAATCCAGTTTTAATTTCCAGCAGCTTCCAGTGATGCACTGCTGCTGCTGCATAATCGTCAGTAAAATTTCCTTCCATGTGATATTCTTGATATTGTTTGATATTTTCCACATTCTTTTGTGTTAACCTTTTTTTCCAGGAGTTGGTACAAATATGATGAATCTCTTGCACTTGAGAGGCCAGGTATTTGTCTCCCAAATGTTGTAACATATGCTAATGAGTGTTTCCACTGCTTCCTCGGTTTGCTGCGATTTTTTAATTGGCACTCTATAAATCCCCATAGGTTTTTGTCAATTTTTTTAGTGCAACTTGGACTTCTTCAATAAAATTGGTCCTTGATGTTGATGCAGTGATTTTTGTACAGAGATTCTATCTACTCCTTTCATCTTCTTTAATGTTCCCTGCATAGCAATGAGGCACTATTGTGAAAGACAGCCACCAAACTCTAAGAAAGTCCACATCATGGTGTTGGGGAAAGTAGCCAAACTGAACTGCCTACAGTGGAGAATCGATCCAATGAATCCTTTGCTGATAGACCTGAGTGTGGGAAATGAGTTTATCCTAGTTAAGCTCCTAGCTAAATGAAGTCACAGGAACAAACACAGAAAATGCACGAAGAGCCAAATACTAACACATCTGCAAATTTTTTGACCATTTATTACACAGGAAATTGGCACATTTGTCATCTATTTACTTGCAAATGTTTAAGATCTGCTCCAACTCTAATTTTTATTCTAATATTTTTCACCAAGGACCTCCTTCAGATGGTCACATGTTATCTTTTTCCTTCATTCTTTATTCCTTACTCTTCTTTATGAGGTAATTTCATCTTATATTGGAGCCTAGATTTTAGGTTAAAACCACCCAAATTTCAGATCAAAACTGCTCTCACCTGTACATCTATAAATGTACTGAACTATTAAGTGCTAGACTGTTGTAAATCGAGAATTAAATGAATGTTGCTTTGTTTTCTGTATATGTTTTGTTATTCATTATTAAAACCTTTTTAAATCTGTGAGACATAAAGTGTGCATCTGCTTTGTCTGCCATGGTAGAGAGGGATGGGAAGCAGAAAGTTGCGATTCCATAGTATGTGTGTGTTTCTAGGTATTTGATGAAGGCTAGTATAATTGCATGGATCTTAATAAATAGGATTCAACCCACCAACCTTAGCATTAACATTCCCTTGGGATATTTGTGCCACATTCATTGTATCAAAAGGTACCCTGACGGAGCAAGGGGTTATGAATTGAGCTGCTAACCAGAAAGTCAATAGGTGACCCCACTAGTTGTTCTTCTCAAAAATATGGAAAGAGTAACTCTATTCTGCACTATAGAGTTTCTATGAGTTGGAGTCAACTCAACCGCAGTTTTAAAAATTGTATCAAAATCCTTATCACCTCACAAATTATTTTCCTTTCATTCAGAATGCTGTTACTGAGAGCATTTATTTTCAACAATTTCAAAGCAGAAAATATTTTGTTGTTGAAAATATTAACTCTTGCTCTTCAGGGTTTGCACATTTTTCCACTTTCTGCTTTCCAAAATAATATGGCAAATTTAGTTCCTTATTTTCTTCTTCTTACTTCCTCAGTGTGTCAGATAATTTAAAATATATATAAATTAGTATCTGAGCAAAATCCTGAGGGCACTACTCTATGCTAATGAGTACAATCAATTTAATTTTCTGTTCATTGCTCAAGTGATTTCATTCATTTAACAATATTCTGGA